GTAGCATTAGAGTATTGCCTAAAGTATAAAATAAATACACATGAGTTCATAGTGATATAAACAAATATTGAATGAATGAATGAACACACACAGACAAATAAATAAATAATGGGTGCCAAAGGACAAATCTTCCTTACAAAAATAGAACTTAACTTTCAACTTCATTTCCTGAGTGTGGGTTGGACTTAGGAACTTGCTTCCAAACACTAAAAGATGGAAAGGGATAAATAGTAACATTACATTGAAGAAAACTGACAAACACCACAATAAGCAAGTGACTGAGATAAGCAGTACTTACAATAAGGACATGTTGATGTTGTGTATCCCTTGATATGATGTGATGAGAAGTACACTCCATCCCTGTGGCATTCTTTCTGCAAACCCACAACCCCAGTCAAATCCTGAGAAAAACATCAGATAAACGCAGATGAAACAGCATTATAGGATATCTGGCCAATGATCCTTAAAGTTGTCAAAGTCATGAAAAACAAAGACTGAGAAGCTCTCATAGACCAGGGTAGACAAACAGAAATATCTAAATGTAACATGGTATTTCAGATTGGATACTACAAACAGAAAAAGGATATTAAAGGAAAAATGGCAAAATCTGAATAAAGTGTGAAGTTAAAATTAATGCACATATATATAGAATCTAGAAAAATGGTACAGGTGAACCTATTTGCAGGGCAAGAATGGAGATGCAGATGTAGAGAACGGACATGTGGACACAGTGGGGAAAGGGGAGGGAGGATGGGTTGGGAATTGACATATATGTACACTACCATGTGTAAAATAGATAGCTAGTGGGACAAAGCTACTCTATAGCAGAGGGAGCTCAGCTTGTGCTCTGTGATGACCTAGAGGAGTGGGATGGGGGTGGGGGTGGGGGTGGGAGTGAGGTTCATGCGGGAGGGGATCAGTTCAGTTCAGTCGCTCAGACATGTCCGACTCCTTGCAACCCCATGAACTGCAGCATGCCAGGCCTCCCTGTCCATCACCAACTCCCAGAGTCCACCCAAACTCACATCCATGAGTTGGTGATGCCATCCAACCATCTCATCCTCTGTCTTCCCCTTCTCCTCCTGCCCTCAATCTTTCCCAACATCAGGGTCTTTTCAAATGAGTCAGCTCTTTGCGTCAGGTGGCCAAAGTATTAGAGCTTCAACTTCAACATCAGGCCTTTCAACAAACACCCAGGACTGATTTCCTTTAGGATGGACTGATTGGATCTCCTTGCAGTCCAAGGGACTCTCAAGAGTCTTCTCCAACACCACAGTTCAAAAGCGTCAGTTCTTCTGTGCTCAGCTTTCTTCTTTACAGCCCAACTCTCACATCCACACATGACCACTGGAAAAACCATAGCCTTGACTAGATGGACCTTTGTTGGCAAAGTAATGTCTCTGCTTTTTAATATGCTGTCTAAGTTGGTCATAACTTTTCTTCCAAGGAGTAAGTGTCTTTTAATTTCCTGGCTGCAATCACCATCTGCAGTGATTTTTGATTCCCCACCAAAATAAGGTCAGCCACTGTTTCCACTGTTTCCCCATCTATTTGCCATGGAGTGATGGGACCGGATGCCATGATCTTAGTTTTCTGAATGTTGAGCTTTAAGCCAACTTTTTCCACTTTCCTCTTTCACTTTCATCAAAAGGCTCTTTGGTTTCTCTTCACTTTCTGCCATAAGGGTGGTGTCATCTGCATATCTGAGGTTATTGACATTTCTCCCGGCAATCTTGAGTCCAGCTTGTGCTTCCTCCAGCCCAGTGTTTCTCATGATGTACTCTGCATATAAGTTAAATAAGCAGGGTGACAACATACAGCCTTGATGTACTCCTTTCCCTATTTGGAAGCAGTCTGCTGTTCCATGTCCAGTTCTAACTGTTGCTTCCTGATCTGCATACAGATTTCTCAAGAGGCAGGTCAGGTGGTTTGGTTTTCCCATCTCTTTCAGAGGGAGGGGATATATGTGTACATATGGCTGATTCCTTCATTGTACAACAGAAACTAACACAGCATTATAATATAATTATACTCCAATATAAATTTCAAAAAGGTAATATACCAATCAGGGTTTCTTAGTTTTGACAAATATACCACTGAAACCTGAGACAATACCTTTTCCAGCATTGATTGTGTGTACTTTTTAAAAAAATTTTAATTGGAGGTTAATTACTTTACAATATTGTAGTGGTTTTTGCCATACATTGACATTAATCAGCCATGGGTGTACATGTGAAAAGGTGTGGGGAAAAAAAAAGAAAAGAAAAGAAAAAGAAAACAAATATGCAAACTTTCCCATGAAGCATTAGCAGCTCTTTAAATCCTACTGTGAATAAAGTAAAAGTCAAAAGCAGAAAAAAAAAAAAAAAGAAAGAAAGAAACAATACCATTATGGGAAACTGAATGGATGAGGGATATATAGGAACTCTCTGTACTATCCCTGAAGTTTCTCTGTAGATCTAAAATTATTCTGCAGAGTTTTAAATGCTTCTTTTTTCACACATGAAAAAGATCAGTTTCTTACATTTTCAGTAAATACAAATATCACTGTTTCTCATTAATATAAAATCTAAGAGTTATTCCTGATTGTTTAAGCAACTGCCTAATAAACTGTGGTATTTGCTGGTAATTTGAAATGAAACTATAGTTTTGACAACAATAATATGCATTTATAACAGTGACTTAAACACAACAAAAATAGTACTTGACTTAAACTATGCAAACTTTTACGTAGTGGTTGTCAATGTGATTTTTGTGTTTGGACTTCTTTTATAACATCATAAATATAATTGAATATCTTTCATTCAACAAAACTGATGCCCCAAACAAGAAAACAGAAGATGTGATTTCAGCTTCCCCTCTACCCTGAATCAATAATATTGAAGTACTTAATGTAAAATGCTTTTTGAAGAATGCTGTATCAATTAAAAAGTGCTTTCTAGTTCATAGCCCTAAAATAATAATAGTGATATATTGAATGCTTACATTGTGCCTAGCACTGGGCCATGAGTTTTACATCATTATTGCATTCATACACATGACAATAGCAACATCCCCTTTGAAAGAAAGTGTTAGTCACTCAGTCGTGTCCAACTCTTTGCGACCCCATAGACTGTAGTCTTTCAGGCTCCTCTGCCCATAGGGTTTCCCATCAAGAATACTCGAGTGGGCTGCCATTTCCTCCTCCGGGGGATCTTCCCGACCCAGGGATTGAACCCAGGTCTCCTGCACTGCAGGCAGATTCTTTACTGTCTGAGCCACCAGGGAAGCCCTTTAAGTGAATATTATATTTATCTTATTTTTACCAGTGTTGAGTCTGAAGCCTAAAGAGGTCAAGTACTTGACCAAAGTCATACAACTAATAAGAGGTGGGGACAAAACCTGAATCCATGCTTCACCCCTCCGGAGACAAATAGTGACCACTGGAAGATGATAGAAAGATCACAGAGCTATGTGATAAAGGACATAAGTGCCACCTTGACACTTTTTATGTTTCCATGGTGACTTGTGTCTATGAATACTTTGATCCTTACCACATTTTACAAAGTCTTTAAAGGAGATGAATTTTATTTATTTTGTGATACTTCTAAGGTCATGGACATTGCTTGGAATTGATGTCCAATACAATTCCTATTTATAGAAAGAAGCTATTGTATATGTATAGAAAAATGTGGTTACATGAGAAAAATACAGACCATTCACCCAATTCATCCTATGTCTGTTATCTCCTCCTAAGAAGGTCAGGGGTCATTTAGTCACAGATACTATGAATGTGATGATGACAGTGATGTGACTACCTTCACATTTGACCACGCTCATCTCTCAGTCTACTTGGATGTCTCTTCCATGGGAAACTTGTCCTGATTCTCCAGAACTGGGTCAGATTTCTCTCCTTCTGGACTATCAGAGCACTTTTCATCCTATTTAACTCCCCGTTGGCTTTACTGTCTCCCTACTAGGATGAAAGCTTATCAAGTCTTGCCTACCACTATTCTGTTACCTGGCACTATGCCTGAAAGTGAAAGTGAAAGTGGCTCAGTCATGTCCGACTCTTTGCAACTTCCTTAACCATACAGTCCATGGAATTCTCCAGACCAGAATACTGGAGTGGGTAGACTTTCCCTTCTCCAGGGGATCTTCCCAACCCAGCAATCAAACTGGAGTCTCCCATATTGCTCGGGGATTCTTTACCAGCTGAGCCACAAGGGAAGCCCAAAAATACAGGAGTGGGTAGCCTATGCCTTCTCCAGTGGATTTTCCTGACCCAGGAATCAAACCGGGGTCTCCTGCATTGCAGGTGGATTCTTTACCAATTGAGCTGTACTTAGGTAATTAATATGTATTGGTCGAGACATTCCTGTAGCAAATTTTGGATTCTAGAATCTTAAAGTTTTCACAGTGCATTCTCCAGGAAGAGCATGATGGAGCTATAATTTATTCTTTGCAGCCATCTCAGTTCAAATTCTCTATCTTCATTTGAGACAAACAAACCAGGGTATTTTCATAAAGGTCAGACAAGGTACAAGTTGTCTTATGATTCAGATACTTTGTCCTATATAGATGGTTATCTGGAGGTGGCCCAGTAGAGTTTGTCAAGGGTCATTTCTGTATTGAATGGGAAGTTTTTCAACACTGGAATGATACAGCCACATCCTTAGATTATGTGGATCTCAACTGGACTGCAGTCTTACCTGATACCTGGTAGCAGAGAGAGTAAGTTACAGTTTTCTCAGAAGACAGGCTGGAGGGTTCTGAAAATAAGACAACTAAAGCATTGAGAAGCTATTCGTACCAAGATATCTGAGCAGTTCTTAAATATTTTGATCAAATGTTAACTTTCATCATTGAGATTTTCTCACACAGGGTAATGTGCCGTTTGGTATTTAAAGAAGGATTGCTCCACTTCCCCCTTTCACTTCATTAATTTGAGCAGCGATACTCAGAGAGGAGACTTGCTGAACTCACTCCTCAGTGCTGGGAACTGACTTGTCTCCTATGATATGTTCCTCAGGATGCTAGAGGAGGTTTCTGTGCTGCTGTGGGCATCCTTGTTGGTCCTCGGTAAGTGGTGGGGGAATGTTTTTGCTCATTGGGAAAACTAAGTCTCTCCATAGGCAAACGAATTCTCTGGGTTGGCTGCTGAAAAAAGAGATTTTACTCCCATTTAGAACAGCAGAAAATGAACAAAGGAGAAAGATATCAACTTAATGGAATGATAGGGAAAAAAAATTATTTCCAAAAATGTGTTCCTCATTTGCTTTTAACTGCCTAGTTGAAAAAATTTTAATTGAAAAATTCCTCTTACTCTCCAAGAGATGGGCTTATTTTTCCATGTAAAAACTTACAATTAGATTTAGTTACCTCTCTAATCACAGATCATGAAGAGCAAGAGTAAAAGACAAACTGACTACCTTGTGAAAGGACCATATTCTGACCATGGGCTGATGTAAAATGATCTTCTGCTGAAAATAGTTATTTGTTTCTCTGTATTAAAAGATCAAATCTGTTCTGATGTTTGCAAAGAGCATAAGAGAGGAAATAAGACAGTTTCCCTTTGATTTTTCTTCCCTTCTTCTGTGTTAATTGCTAATATCTAATGGGACATGGAATCTCTAGTAGTTCAAACTTTGGGAAATAAAGACTAGTCAGTCATTTGTACAATGAATTTTGTTAAACGTGTTTGTCTTGTTCTCAGCTATATCTCCAGGCTCTAATTAAGAAGAGAAGAGTTATTAGTGTGACTGGCGCATAATGGGAACTCAGTAAATAGTGAATGAGTGGCTATATGGGGCATAGCACAGTGTTGGGCAATGCAGAGGATGCAGAACATAGAGCACATGGCCTCCGTCCTCAAGAACTGACATTCTGATGAGGAAATCAAAGGATGTATGGAAGAGTATTTGACCGGGCAATACAAGAAAAATATTGCACAATGGGTTATAAGATAATGTGTGATGATAATTAATTATTGCTGATAACCCTGTGTTAGACAGTCTTCTAAGAATATCTCACTGTATTAGTTATCTAATTCTTTAACAACCTAGGAGCTGGAACTGCTGTAAATCCTGTTTTATGGGTGAGGAAACTAAGGCAAAGAGATGATGTCTTGCCTTAAGTTTCATGCAGCAGTTAAGTGGCAGAGTCAGGATTCAAACTTCTAATCTGACAGTGTAATTATGCTTTTAACTACTGCCCCATACTGCATATCCAGTTGAGGATTTCATGTGAACTTGAATGGGAGGGATTCTAAGTCAAAAGAGAAGTGATGGTGCTGTGGCATAGAGGTATCTCAGAGGGCTTCATGGAGGAGGTGGAATTTCATCTGGGCTTTAATGCATGGGTGTAATTTGCTTTTGCTTCATACTGAGGGAGGAGAATGACACTCCAGGCAAGAAGATAGCAAAGCTAAGCCTCAGCAGCAGCCACAGTTATGTTAAAAGATAATTATAGCAACCCCTAGCTGATGACTTACTAATTTGTCTCCTTAAAATAAGGCCATGAGGTCACTTTGATGGTCCTCATTTTACAGATGAAGAAATTGAGCCTTGGAGGTTTTATGTAGCTTGCCCAGGGTCACACAACTAAAATTCAAACCTGTTTCCACCTGAGTTTGCAGCCTGAAACTCTGGACATGGCATTACCTTGTTTCTCCAGGGTGGGTAGATCTAGGCATGTTTTTCCTCCTTTTGGGTGGAAGTTGAAAATGGGCAGGTGGGCTCTCAGGGTGAAATGGTTTGGGACTCATCACCTTGTGCTGATATTTGACTCTTTACTCTCTTGTAGCAGCTCCAGTCAGTGGACCAGTTGGTAAGTCCTTCTTTTCCTTTCTCTTTTACATTTCTGGATATCCTAACAGCCATCCTGTATCTCAAATATTTGTGAAAAGGGGCTTTGTTGTGCCTGCATCCTTTTTTTGAGGACTACAGGCAGGTAAAAACACGTCTTAGGACCCTAAGAGTTTGGGGATCACACTCCCGGACCAAACCTGCTATTGTGCTGGATGATCTTGGAAGAGGACCTAGGATATATGTCATGGAATTTAAGGAGAAGGTGTGTCCACATCTGATATGGGATTCTAGCTGATCTGACAGAATGCATAGAATCCTGAGGGGTGAAGAATAGAAATAAACTATTACCCAAGTGGGGGAGGTTGAGGTGCAAACAACTTGCTGGCTTCTCCATGTTTCCCCCAGCTTGACAGATCAGCTGCATGCTCATACTCAGCTGCTTCAGTCATGTCCTACTCTGTGACCCCGTGGACTGCAACCTGCTAGGCTCCTCTGTCTATGAGATTTCCCAGGCAAGAATACTGGAGTGGGTTGCCATTTCCTCCTCCAAGGGTTCTTCCCCACCCAGGGATCAAAGCCATGTCTCCTGTGGCTCCTGCATTGGCAGGTGGATTCTTTACCATGAGTTACCTGGGAAGCCCCTAACAAATCACTTCCCCTAAGCAAGTGCAACCAACTCATCCCAGACTTCAGCATTCTTTGTAGATATTTCTCTGTTAATAAGCTCAGATCATGATGACTTTGAGCCCCTATCCTACTACTTAGCAGAAAGTCCAGGCCTCTTTTGGGAGCTGTTTCCAGGAATTTTGGCAGTCCCTGAGAACTTCATCCAAGTCTTCTCTATCCAGGGACCTGATTATGGTCAGTCAAGTCCAGCCAGCAGGAACCACTGCCCCTTGATGCACAGTGACCAGTGAAACTTCCTGGAAGAGTCTCCCCTCAGTGCTGTGGATGCAGACTTTTACCCACAAATAACTGGGAGGAGATCATAACTTGACAAGGCTTTGTTAAAAGTTCTATGATGGTGAAATAAAATACAGAGAGTCAGCCAGTAGACGTGGGTAATCTCAGAACCCACTGCCTCCATCCCAGCCTCAGAAAGAACCTGGCAAGTTGTGTCTCCTCCTGGCCACAGGGCTGCCTGTATGTAGCAGGGGCAGCTTACTAAGTGTGGCAAGGAGTGAAGCTGTGTCCATCAAAGGAACTTTTCCCTTCTCCCTAGAACAAGATCCACTGTCCAAGTCTCCATTTCCCCAACCCCAAGTTCTTCCCAGAAACATAGATAATGCAGATTCCTGTTCTCTTCAAGAGAAACACAGTCGCATATCTGCTGGGGAGATAGTATATCTGTACAAACCTCTAAACAAAGAGAGAGGGAAAAGGTCTGCAGAAACACCCGAATGTTTATATAACCGAACAGAATACTTACTTTTCTTGTTTAAAACAATCATTCAGGTCACTCTACAATTTTTACCCCCAGAGTATTTTCATTACATTTGGGTATAATTCTAAGGTGTATTTGGGCACTTCTTATGGAAAAAGTTGAGAATAGGTAAAGTCTCAGGGCTTCCCCAGTGGCTCAGCAGAAAAAAAAAAAAAAAAAAAATCCACCTGCAATGCAGGAGCTTCAGGAGATGTGGGTTCAATCCCCAGGTCAGGAAAGTCCCCTGGAGGAGGACATTGCAACACACTCCAGTATTTTTGCCTAGAGAATCCCATGGACAGAGGAGCCTAGAGGGCTATAGTCCATAGGGTCACAAAGAGTTAGACACGGCTGAAGTGATGTAGCTCTCATGCATGAAGTCTCAAGTTTTAAAAAGTAATTGCTTATACACCCTTAAATACAGATAGTTCTCCTTATCTGATATGAAATGTACTAAGATAAAAGCACACCTAAGTAATTCCACTTACAATTTTATGGTAAATTTCATATCCTCAACATTGAGATATTATTTTTGAAAAAAGATAATATAAACGGAAATAATTTACTTTGTTTTCTGCATTACAAAATTTAGATTACCATAAGCAATTTGTAGAACAAAGCATGAAGCAAATATTGATTTTTTTTTTTTTTTTTGGTATGTGATCTCAGTCACAGCTTCAGGCATCGTGTCTCTGTACAAGGCAGGAAAGCGGGGGGAGGGAGGAGTAGGAAGCTAAAACTGTAGAGGAGCTCTCCTGCTACACTTCTCTCCCTGCATCATAAAGGAAAAATCTTTCCCCAGAATCCTCACCCCTTAGTTCACTCCTAGCTTTATTCTTCTGACATCCCCTTATTCAGAACTGTGTCACAAGGCTGGGCAGTTAGTGATTCAGTTTTTCAAACTTATTGATGGGCAACAGGCTCAACAGATGGGCACTGGGACTAACTTTCAGAAGCCAAACAAGTATTGTCCCTATCACTGATTTCCCCTCTTCAGTTGTTAACAGATCTTGCTCCACCACACTTGTCAGTGACTTTGGAGGCATCACAGCAGCGGTCTCACAAAACTTTTACCACCTTCATGAATTGCAGCATCTTTGACAGAATCTGAAGTATCACTTTAACAGTCAATTTTCATTGTACGTACCATGAAAGATTAGCCTATCAAAGCATTGTTCTGGCTAGATAGTGGCATTAAAGAAGTGAGAAAGTTTGCATGGATGTTTGTGAATAATTTGGTTAGCAATTACTTTTGTTATGTCAAAGATGAAAACTTTTTTTTTCTATTCTCATATGTTTATAATGCATGGAGGATTGCAAATTAAACTGACAAAAGACAGATTGGCAAGAGAAAAGAAAAATTTTTATTCAAAACTTCAGGAGTACATAGAAAAATATAACCTAAGGAAGCATTAAAATTTGGGAATTATGTGATATCTGGATTGGAAAGAAGGGGAGAAGGGCAAGAAGGTCACTTTGTTGTTGTTCTTCAGTTACTCAGTCGTGTCTGCTTCTTTGAGACCCCATGGACTGCAGCACATGAGGGTTCCCTGTCCTTCACCATCTCCCGGAGTTTGCTCAAACTTGTGTCCATTGAGCCAGGGATGCCATCCAACCATCTCATCCTGCATCACTCCCTTCTCCTCTTGCCCGCAACCTTTCCCAGCATCAGGCAGGGTGTTTTCCAATGACTCAGCTCTTTGCATCAGCTGGCCAAAGTATCGGAGCTTCAACTTCAGTATCAGTGCTTCCAATGAATATTCAGCGTTGATTTTCTTTAAGATTGACTGGAAGGCCACTTACTAGAAAACAAATAAGTTTTAGGAAAGATAAATAGGCCTTTAAAAGAATAGATGGGAGCTAAGCTAGTTTTCTCAAAATGTCTGTTTAGGTGTGGTATTGACTTTCAGTATGTGGTGATAAGAGCTGATCATTTATTTGCTCCTGGGGAGGTGATTTATGACAATTGAACTGTTTTCAGTGGCCTTGCTTCTAGGCAGATAAGGAAATTCAGAATAAAAATGAATAAATAAAATCTTTTATGCCTCAGTTCAGAATAATCTTTATACAACAGTTGTACCCCCACCCTTCAGATACTAACTCTCACAACCTTGAAACTACAAAACTTAGAAAATAAACATTCATATAAGAAAGAACCACAGTAATAACTGTGGGAAGTAAAGCTAAAACAAAATCTACCAACCCAGAAATCCTCTCCACAAAGGTAAGAAAGTGAGCAAATGCTTTCAGTACTAAATAAGCATTAAATCAAGTCCGTTACGATTATACAGTGGAAATGAGAAACAGATTTAAGGGACTAGATCTGATAGAGTGCCTGATGAACTATGGACAGAGGTTTGTGACATTGTATAGGAAACAGGGATCAAGACCATCCCCAAGGGAAAAAAAAAATGCAAAATGGCTGCCTGAGGAGGCCTTACAAATAGCTGTGAAATGAAGAGAATCCAAAAGCAAAGGAGAAAAGGAAAGATACACCCATTTGAATGCAGAGTTCCAAAGAATAGCAAGAATGGATGAGAAATGCTTCCTCAGTGATCAGTGTATTGGAGAAGGAAATGGCAACCCACTCCAGTGTTCTTGCCTGGAGAATTCCAGGAATGGATGAGCCTGGTGGGCTGCCGTCTATGGGGTCACACAGAGTCGGACACAACTGAAGTGACTTAGCAGCAGCAGCAGTGATCAGTGCAAAGAAATAGAGAAAAAATAGTAAAATGGGAAAGACTAGAGATCTCTTCAAGAAAATTAGAGATACCAAGGGAACATTTCATGCAAAGATGGGCACAATAAAGGACAGAAATAGTATGGACATAATAGAAGCAGAAGATACTAAGAAGAGGTGGCAAGAATACACAGAAGAACTGTACAAAAAAGATCTTAATGACCCAGATAATCACAATATTGTGATCACTCACCTAGAGCCAGACATCCTGGAATGTGAAGTCAAGTGGCCCTTAGGAAGCATCACTACGAACAAAGCTACTGGAGGTGATGGAATTCCAGTTGAGCTATTTTAAATAATGAAAGATGATGCTGTGAAAGTGCTGCACTCAATATGCCAACAAATTTGGAAAATTCAGCAGTGACCACAGAACTGGAAAATGTCAGTTTTCATTCCAACCCCAAAGAAAGGCAATGTCAAAGAATGCTCAAACTACTGCACAATTGCTCTCACCTCACACACTAGTAAAGCAATGCTCAAAATTGTCCAAGCCAGACTTCAACAATACATGAACTATGAACTTCCAAATATTCAAGCTGGTTTTAGAAAAGACAGAACTAGAGATCAAATTGCCAACATCTGCTGGATCATCGAGAAAGCAAGAGAGTTCCAGAAAAACATCTATTTCTGCTTTATTGACTATGCCAAAGCCTTTGACTGTGTGGATCACAAGAAACTGTGGAAAATTATGAAAAAGATGGGAATACCAGACCCCCTGACCTGCCTCTTGAGAAATCTGTATGCAGGTCAGGAAGCAACAGTTAGAACTAGACATGGAACAACAGACTGGTTCCAAATAGGAAAAGGAGTAGGTCAAGGCTGTATATTGTCACCCTGCTTATTTAACTTATATGCAGAGTACATCATGAGAAACGCCGGGCTGGAAGAAGCACAAGCTGGAATCAAGATTGCTGGGAGAAATATCAATAACCTCAGGTATGCAAATGACACCACCCTTATGGCAGAAAGTGAAGAAGAACTAAAGAGCCTCTTGATGAAAGTGAAAGAGGACAGCGAAATAGTTGGCTTAAAGCTCAACATTCAGAAAACTAAGATCATGGTATCCGGCCCCATCACTTCATGACAAATAGATGGGGCAACAATGGCAGACTTTATTTTTTGGGGGTCCAAAACCACTACGGAAGGTGACTGTAGCCATGAACTTAAAAGACGCTTACTCCTTGGAAGGAAAGTTATGACCAACCTAGACAGCATAGTAAAAAGCAGAGACATTACTTTGCCAACAAAGGTCCATCTAGTCAAAGCTATGGTTTGTCCAGTAGTCATGAATGAATTTGAGAGTTGGACTTGAAAGAAAGCTGAGTGCTGAAGAATTGATGCTTTTGAACTGTGGTGTTGGAGAAGACTCTTGAGAGTCCGTTGGACTGCAAGGCGATCCAACAAGTCTATCCTAAAGGAAATCAGTCCTGAATATTCATTGGAAGGACTGATGTTCAAGCTGAATCCCCAGTACTTTGGCACCTGATGCAAGGAGCTGACTCATTTGAAAAGACCCTGGTCCTGGGAAAGATTGAAGGTGGGAGGAGACGGGGACAACAGAGGATGAGATGGTTGGATGGCATCACTGACTCAATGGACATGAGTTTGAGTAAACTCTGGGAGTTGGTGATGGACAGGGAGGCCTGCCGTGCTACAGTCAATGGGGTTGCGAAGAGCCACACATGACTGAACAACTGAACTGAACTGAACTGAAGCATTAAAGCAGAATACAATGCCCATCACAGGCAATACAGCAAGAGATTGCAAAGACAGAAAGGGATCTCTCACTCTTATATGGCCAAGGGGATTCAGCGCATTACTTCCATGTTTTCAAGATTAAACAATAATTAGTTCTCAAGCAGGAGGACTTGACAGCACCTTTGCCACATATTTTGTGTCAGTCGCTCTGTTGTGTCTGACTCTTTGAGACCCCATAGACTGCAGCCCACCAAGCTTCTCTGTCCTTGGAATTCTCCAGGTAAAGATACTGGATTGGGTATCCATTCCCTTCTCCAGAGGATCTTCCCAACCCAGGCATCAAACTGGAGTCTCCTGTATTTCAGGAGGATTCTTTACCTTCTGAGCCACCAGGGAAATCCAATTTATCATGCTACTTTTCTTTTATCCAGAGGAGAAATAACTGTTTCATATATTTATATAGGGGTCTTTCCAAGGGGCTCAGTGGGTAAAGTATCCATCTTCGATGCAGGAGATGTGAGTTCGATCCCTGTATCAGGAACATCACCTGGAGGAGGGAATGGCACCCCATTCCAATATTTTTGCCTGGAGAATCCCATAGACAAGGAACCTGCCAGGCTGCAGTCCATAGGGCCACACAGAGTTAGACACGACTGAAGAAACTTAGCACACATGTACCTTTAGGTAAGACTGGAGGTGCTATTGCATATTGGAGCAAAGTACACACCAAAGGTAAACTCTTACCCTTCCATGGTAATGGGGATCAGGAGCCAGAGGAGCTGTCCCCCTACATGTCTGCATTTCAAAAAGATGGCTGCTTCTTGAGAAAGATGATTCCAAGTTGTGAGACAGGCAAGAGACTTTTTAGCAATTATAAAGATTCACATACATTTGAAAGAAATTCTAAAGGAAAAAAAGAGAGAGAGAAGTTGTTTCTCTTACTTTCAACAGGGAGAATGAAACCTCTTCTTTTTAATTTGTATTTACCCTTACATTCTCCAGCATCTGTCCTTCAATAATTCAAAGATCTTAAGGCTTGATTTTATGCAGGGCCCACATTTTATTTTCATGAAATCTTTGAGGTACGGGGATTTAGAAGCACCTAGTTCCCAGCACTCATACCTTTTTTAGTTATTTCAGGGTAATTCCCACTTCAGACAACAGCCTGCTCATACCAGCCCTACCTACTTCTTGTTGGTAAAAATACTATTTAGACCCTTGTCCATAACTGCGGAATGGACCCCAAATTGCTACACTCCCTCCCTCTATAATCCCTCACCCCACTTTGTGGCCTTGCCGCACAAATGCTCATCTTAGAGAAATGCGAGTAACATGAAAAGTCCAGGTGGGAAGGAGCCCAGGAGGAATCTACTTGAGGATGTGGCCCGTTGGAAAAGGTAAGGGGGTTGGCAAGTCTCCCATCACTGATATCCCATGCTGAGTAGGTCTTGCTGGGGTTTCCCTCTGAAAGTCCAGTATTCTCTTGTAGACCACTGAGCAGCTGCTGACACTCTTGAGTAAGACAAACAGTCAGCAAATTTGAAACCTGGGGAAACAGCAGCCCGGCCACAGGTTCTTTCAGAGATTCTCCAAATCCAGGTTTTCTGGTCCATTCCACACAAACCGCACAGGTGGGGATGCAGGCACCTTCACCTCAGGCTTATTTCTCTTCTCTCCAGCTACTGTACACAAATCTGTGATTTCCGTCCAGCCTCCGTGGACCACTGTCTTCCGTGGAGAGAGAGTGAATCTGACTTGCAATGGATTTCACTTCCATGCACAAGAGAAATTAAAAGGCTACCGTTGGTTCTCTGGGAAAGCACGTCCACGTGAAACTCCAGGAAATACCCTTGAGGTTCGTGATTCTGGACAGTACAGGTGCCAGGCCCCAGGCTCACTCCCAAGTAACCCTGTGCACTTGATCTTTTCTTCAGGTGAGAAAGTAGGTGAATTAGTGAAAACTTGGGAAGCGGTTTCAGTACATCTTAGCTCCCTGGATTTTCCAAGGAAAGTCTTCATTCTACTCTAAGTCTTGATCTTTCAGTTTCACGTCCACCCTCCCTCATTATCTATAGGTGTTTTTCAAACTGCTATTGACATCAGAGTTTAAACGTCTAACATTAATCAGCAGACATCTTGCACACTTATGTAATTAAAGGAAGGAGTTAGTTTTAGGGGATTCAGAAGTGAAGCTGTCTTAGGTCCTGTCTTTAACGACATTATAGCCTCCTTTGGGAGAAATTGCATGAATGTGCTGAGCACAAAATATAATGTAAAAAGTGCCATAAAACAAGAATTCAGAGGTGGGAGATCTCCAGCCTCAGGCCTCGTGTCCTCACCTGTCTTAGGATTTGTCCCTTCTCCACTACTTTTCTCTCTAACTGGCACACATATCTCTTTGTCCAGTTTTTCCTATTCCAAAGATCTTCATTTAGAGCAGTGGTCCCCAAACTTTTTGCCACCAGGGATGATTTCAGTGGAAGATAACTTTTCCATGGAGTAGGGAGTAAGGAGATGGTTTCAGGGTGATTCAAATGCAGTGGGGTTCATGCTCCTGTGAGAATCTAATGCTGCTGCTGATCTGACAGGAAGCGGAGCTCAGGTGGTAATGTGAGCGACAGGGAGCAGCTAGAAACACAGGTGAAGCTTCGCTTGCTTGCCTGCTATTTACCTCCTGCTGGGCAGCGTGGTTCCCAACAGGCCACTGTCCGTGGTGGTCTGGGTGTTAGGGACCCCTGGTTTGATCACTCCCCAGGCATTGGTCCATAGGAGCAGGCATTTACTGCCATCATCTCAGAGAGAAAGGGTAGAACTTGCCTCTAATCAGAATCTGTAGGGCGTGAGAGTTTCTTGAGCGGACCACATTTACTGTCTTTCGACCCTGGATTTGCGTCTATGACCACAAACCCTCTGCATAGTGCATTTCAATGCACTGTAACACTTCCTAGGATATTTCTCCAAAACCACCTTTGATAACTGCTGTTATTTAGTCAGCAGGTTGGTGCCGATCTTTGCTGTATTCAACGATGTCAGAGGTTTTGGTCACATCTCTCAGCTTTTCCTCTCCATGTTAGAATCCTTCTATTTTTGAATCTGTCCTTGAATGATTAAATAGATGTGTCTAGGATTTATTTAGGAATTGTATCTGAAGCAAGTCACACTGATTAGGAAGGAGATGAATGAGCTTGGATCAGGAGACTAAATCCTGGGGAAGGAAAAGGAAGAAAAGAAAAACTCTGCAATTCAGGAGACTCAGAGGAAAGAGTGCTTGAATGACAATGTCTTATCTCTGTGTGATTTTCAGCCTCCCTCATCCTCCAGGTGCCATACTCTGTGTTTGAAGGTGATGAGTTGGTTCTGAGATGCCAGAAAAGGGGGAGAGAGAAACTGGCTGTTGTGAAGTATACTTGGAATCAAAAAATTATTTCTGGTTCTGATGAAAGCTTGGATCTTTTGATACCAAAAGCAAGTTTAAATAACAGTGGCTGTTACCAATGCATTGCATTCTTGGAAAATGCTTATGTATTGAGAGCAAGTCAGACAAATGTTCAAATTCAAGGTAAACCCTTCATTTCATACACATTTCCTTAGCAGTGTCAGGGTGGGGTAAACTGGGCACCTGAGTGGGGATCTATAAAAGTAGTTTTTCTGTTTGTTTATTGATTTGTTTTGGTGGGCCTCATGGCTTGCGGGATCTTCTGAGTTCCCCAATCAGGATCGAAACAGGGCTCTTGGCAGTGAAAGCACAGTGTCCTAACAACTAGACCTCCAGGAAATTCCCTGTATAAGCTGATACCATAGCAAATGTTGGATAAATTTGTGACCTAAGTCCTTTAAGATGTAGAGAAAGTGGAGTAATTGAACTTAAATAGTCCTGGGGGAGAAAAAGGTGATAGAGGGACCAATAAGTTTGTCTTGTTGGGTGTCTGAAGTTTTCTGGGACCAAGAATCCAAGCCGGCCTCATACTGAGAGCTTGGTTTCCCTCTTCTCTCTAGAACTGTTTTCACGCCCAAAGCTGGAAGTCACCGATTCCCAGCCTATCGAGGGGAACCCTGTGAACCTGACCTGTGGGACACGGCTCCCGCTAGAGCGGCCGGACACTCCGCTTCGCTTTGGGTTCTTCAGAGAGGACGGGGCCATGATCTCAAACTGGAGCGGGTCCCCGGACCTCCAGATCACAGCCGTGTGGAGAGAAGACTCAGGATTGTACTGGTGTGGTGCTGAAACAGTGACCGGTGGCATCCACAAGCGCAGCCTCCCACTTCAGATCGACGTGCAGAGTGAGTGTTGGAGGGCCAGCCTGTGATGTCTCCCCTGGCTGCTCTGTTTGGCCCCATGGGGGTAGGGGCTGCCCAGCACAGATGGATTTTGTCAGCCTGACAGAGGCTCCAGGCTTAGATCTCATGAGAAGTGAGGTACTATAATAAAAGAAATACAGGATTTTGCTTCCATCTATATGTCTCTAAAAATGTAGCCTTTAAAAAAAAATTCCAGTGCCTTGAAATGACAGAGGTGATTCATGTAGGTAGATACAGAGCTGGGGAAAACAAAATGAAAACAAGAAGTTAAATGCCTTGCTACTGAATTGACAGATTCTAGGATGTCAGGTCTTTGGGGAAACTGTTTAGAAAACATAACCACAGAGGTGGACCTCAACTGGTAACAACAAACATTGTGATGTGTAAAGTGGAAGAGGAGGACATACATACATAGAAAGATAAATACAGTAAATATCAGCTTATCTTAAGTACCAAAGCAGGACTGGTGGAAAAGGATGTAGTCTAGGCCAATGTAATGATAGCTACTATTGCTATTCTCTCTCTGGGATCAAAATAATTCAGGCTGACAACTAGGACATGACATAAAACCCAAACACTTTTCCAAGGAGAGTCAATTTTTCTCTCCTGGAGCCCGTGTATCAGGATGAAAAGGTTATTACATTTAGTGATGCTTTAGGTCTGAAATCTGCAATCTCTGGGCTACAGTGCTAACATCTGCAGAGAGTATATCTTCAAGTCCCATAAAAAGTGCCCCTGTCCAATATCCCAGCCTCATCTTCCTCCCATCATGCCCTCACCTGTCACCTTGTGTTCACACAGGAATCCCTGTATCTGGAGCGTTCCTGGAGACCCAGCCCCAGGAGGACCAGTTGGTTGAAGGGGAGACACTAGTCCTTGTTTGCTCTGTGGCCAAAGGCACCGGGAATACCACGTTCTCTTGGCACAGAGAGGACACGAGGGAAGTTCTGGGGCAGAAAAGCCAGCGCTCCCAGAGAGCCGAGCTGGAGATCCCCGTTATCTGGGAGAGCCATGCCGGGCGCTACTACTGCACAGCTGACAACGGCTACGGCCTCATCCAGAGCGAGGCAGTGAATGTCACTGTGAGAAGTAAGTTTTAATCTCCATTCATCTTACTTATTCTCATATTTCTCAAATTAGGGATGGACATAGCCAACACTATCTTTATGATTCTCTTTTTTAAATTTCATTTCCGCTTTGCCATCTTCCGAGGTGATAGACACTTTCTTCCATTAAATATCAATAATTCAGGTTGTAAGGAGGTACTCCAGTGAGCTAATGCTGTCCGGGAACCATTTCACTCCTTGGGTATGATTTTGTGTGACTTTATGCTGATCCTTGTTTTGTAGCTCTCCAAGAACAGCCTCATATCATTAGTAGTGTTTTAGGGTAGGGCATAGCTCCACCATCCTAAGCATCAACTATACTCTCGTTTCAGTAAATCATCCCACAGGACCAAAGATCTAAGGCACCATTTTATTCAGTTACTGAGGGTCTAAGAATATTTTAGTACCAAATGGCATGCAAGTTAAGAAACTTACAAGTACCAAGAGTGAATGCAGAGCCCCTTTATGTCCATAGAGGAGATAAGCCTTCCTTTGGGATTGCACAGTCCTAGCTTATATCTCTCTCTCCCATCATCTATCTCCAAGGAGTCATATAAAGTCAAGCCAGGTTCCCACTCAGCTGCTCTGGCACTGAAGAAGAAGAAATGATTCCTATGGGGCTTCAATGAAGCCTCTGTTTCAGGTTCACTTGCATCCTGGGCTAACCAATAAAGCTAACTTTTATGGAGGAACTACGGGAAAGCAAAGATTTTCCTGCTTTCCTTTACATTTAAACCCCTTAAAAGAGTTATCTCTACTCACTGTCTTCACTTCTATTTTCTCTCAGACCTGTCACTGTCAGGCTTTCCTCACTCCAATAGGTACCATTAAACCTATTCATCAGATGCTCCTTTTAAGTTTTTGTTACTGGATCTTCATCACATTTTCCCCTGGAGTAGGAAATGGCACTGTGCTCTGGTATTCTTGCCTGGAAAATCCCATGGGCAGAGGATCTTGGTGGGCTATATCCCATGGGATCGCACAGAGTCAGACATGACTGAACAACTGAGCATACCACATTTTTAATTATTATATTTTGGGAAATCCTCCCAAGACTCTATCTTTCTCTACTTTCTGCATCCACTCCTTGGATCATCTCACCCAATCTTGTGACTTTAAATACACTTAAAACTTGTATATACCTGTGACTCCCAAATTCAATCCACAGCCTAGATCTCCAGTCTGAACCCAAGACCCATATATTCAAGTACTTAACTACTTCACAGGATTGGCTAATTGGCATCTTAAACTTAATTCATTCAAAACCAGATTTGTGATTTTTCACCCCAAATATGGGCCTGCTTAAGCTTTCACTTGGTATGTATAAAACTTCATTCTCTTATTTGTCCAGACCAAAAAGCCAGACATCATTCTAGATCCTCCACCTTGAATTTACCTGCAAGTCTAATAGCTCTGCCTTCAAAATATCACCAGAATGTGACTAATTCCCACCACGTCCACTTCTACCACCTGATCCAAGCCACCTGAATGGTTGCAATAATACTGTTCTGCTTCATCTGTTGTTCTAC